CTATAACCAAAAAAACCCACCAAATCCGTTGCTGTCAAGTCAATTCCAACTCATAGTGACCCTATAGGACAGAGCAGAACTGCCCCATACGGTTTCCAAGCAGCGTGGTGGATTCTAACTGGCAACCTTCCTTGGAAACCGTATAGGGGAGTTCTACTCTGTCCTATGAGGTCATTATGAGTTGGCAATGGGTTTGAGCGTGGTTTTATATATTTATTATCTATTATATCTATCTAAATATGTAATAGGGATTTTTTCCCCATCAATTATGTATTTAAAAAAAAACATTGCCATTGTCTTAGTTATCTAGTGCTGCTAGAACAAAAACACCACAAGTAGACAGCTTTAACAAAGAGAGATTTATTCTCTCATAGTCTAGGAGGCTAGAAGTCTGAATTCAGGGTGCCAGCTCCAGGGGAAGGCTTTCTCTCTCTGTCGGCTCTGGGGGAAGGTCCTTGTCATCAATCTTCCCCTGGATTAGGAGCTTCTCAGTGCAGGAACCCCGAGTCCAAAGGACACGCTCAGCTCCGGGTGCTGCTTTCTTGGTGGCATGAGGTCACCATGTCTTTCTGCTTGCTTCTCTCTTTTATATTTCAAAAAAGATTGACTTAAGACACAACCTAATCTTGTAGATTGAGTCCTGCCTCATTAACATAACTGCTTCTAATCCTGCCTCATTAACATCATAGAGGTAGGATTCACAACACATAGGAAAATCACATCAGATGACAAAATGCTGGACAATCACACAATACTGGGAATCATGGCACATATTTTTGGGTACACAATTCAATCCATGACAGCCATCGAGTCGATTCGGAGTCATAGCAACCCTGTAGGACAGAGTAGAACTGCCCCATAGGGTTTCCAAGGAGCAGCTGGTGGATTGGAACTGCCGACCTTTTGGTTAGCAGCCAAACTCTTAACCACTGTGCCATCAGGGCTGCTGAACTGTACATAGGCGTCATGAACTCTTTCAAACTTCAGGCTGAAGTCTCTTTTTAACCATGGAAAATTGTCTCTCTTATTTATGCAATTATTGCCTCTTCTCCATCTGGCTCCTTTTCCTTGATTCTGGAATGTTTATTACTGGCATCTTAGGTCTCTTGTCTCTGGACTCTAGTCTCTTATTTGTACCTCATGATTTCCGTTTTTTTGCTTTTTGCTCTGTGTTGGAGATTTTTTATCTGCTTGACCTTCCAGGTCAATAATTTATCTCCCAAACATTCTTCCTCTAGTTAGTTCTAATGTATTGATCTCCCTAGGTTATGCAAACATTTAAGTGCTTGACTACTAGCTGAAATGTCGGTGGTTCGAAGCCACCCAGGGGCGCCTCAGAAGACAGGGCTGGCAATCTGCTTTTGAAAGGTCACAGCCTTGAATATCTTACAGAGTGCAGCTCTACTCTGATGCACATGGGGTCGCCATGAGTTGGAATTGACTCAGTGGCAACTAACAACAACAATCTATTGATATTAAAATTTGAATAATGTATTTTTAATGCCAGGAATTATTAATTCTTTGTTCTTTAATGTATGCTTCTTTATTAGTTTAAAAATAAAGTTGTCCTCTGCTTCTCCAGCAGTCCTGTTTCTTTAGGGACCACCTGTTTTAGCAGATCTGATTGATCTGCCTCTCCCTGATTGCTGGATCCCCTTAAGTACCAAGTTATTTCTGTTTTCTATTTTCTCCCCATAGTTGGAGTCACAACAGTTCTACTCCTGCATTATGAGTGTGAGAGGAAGTCTCTATGACCCTAAAACTAGTTGCCATCAAGCCGACTCTGACTCATAGCAACACCCTGTGTGTCAGAGTAGAACTATGCTCCATAGGGTTTTCAATGGCTGAGTTTTTGAAAGTAAATCACCAGGCCTTTCTTCTGTGGCACCTCTGGGTGGACTTGAACCGCCAACCTTTAGGTTAGCAGTTGAGCATGTTAACCAGTTGCACCACCCAGGGACTCCTCTATGTTCATAGGTGCCCCAAATGCAAGTGTTAGTGTTCTTTTAGCTTCGGGGATACAGAAGACATTCCCTTATAGTTCTTCCTGTAAGATGCAGCCCCGCCCCCCACAACTGGGATGACACCTACTGTAAGGCAGAGTTCCCTCCAATCAGGGAATCCACGGGTCCCCTCAGGCCTGGTTCTTCCATATTCTCACCCCAGGGCGCTCTGCTCCTGCTCCTCTAAATCCCTTCAAGCCTGAACATCCCAAGAGAGCTTGTAATCTCCAACACCCCTCAGGCACTTTTAGTTTACTCATCCCAGCCATTTGAAGACTGGGCAAAGGAAGAGTATCAGAGATGCATAATCTTTCCCTTTTCCTTAAATTTTGATGAGAAAAAGCCTGTATTTTTATAGCTGGCTTATACTATCTAAGCCCAATGTAAGTAAGATTATATGAATTAATATATAAGAAAATACAAAATAATGGAATCTTAAAATAACATGGAGGTCATAATAAAATGAATGTATTAATTTGTATGGTGCTTTTCAGTTTTAGGAGCCCTGGTGGCACAGTGGTTAAGAGCTCGGCTGCTAACCAAAAGGTCGGCAGTTTGAATCCACCAGCTGCTCCTTGGAAACCCCATGGGGCAGTTCTACTCTGTCCTATAGGTCGCTATGAGTTGGAATCGACCCGATGGCAACGGGTTTGGTTTTGGTTGGTTACAGTTTTTATGCAATTTTATACAAATAGTCTCATTTGAGTTCTAACATAGCCATGTGTGATAAGTAGGGGAGTTATTGCCCCATTTTACAGATGAGGAAATTGCAGTTCAAAGGTTAAATAACTTGCCCAAGGAGACATGGGTAATAAGTAGAGCTGGACTAAAGAATAGGTCTTATGACTTCTGGCCCAAGACACTATACCACTGTTTAGGTTTTTTTCCCCAAATGCCTTCAAAATAAGTTACATCACATAATAATTTCTGGAATCGCTAAGTTATATGTAGCAACCTGTATTATTTTTTTCAACTACTTCTATTATATTGATATGAAAAATTGAAAATGTATATAAGTATAAAATAAGTAATAAGATTTTCTTACATCGTTTGAAAACTAACAAAAGAGGAATTCAAAAGTAGTTTTAAAAAGATTAATATAACTAGAATATGTATATTATTTCCAGAAGGTAATAATTTTTTTTGAAGGAGAGTGTACATTTGGCTATGTGAGTACTTAAATTATCTCTTTGTGTAATGTATTTTGTAAGCATTTGTATTGATTTTATTGTGCAGTAGAAATGCAGTAGGCCATTTCCCCATCAGGCATGACTTTAAGAAAATGTAACCATATGTTTGTTTTGTCTTAGAGTTTTGTAGTGTAGGAGTCAATAAATTGATAGCTGTTATAAAGACCAGACCTTTGTCCTGATCTCAGCTCTTTTCCGTGCTCATACTGTGTTTATAAGTATTATTCATACTCAGGAGTGATATTCAAAGTATTTAACACCTAATACATACAGTCAGTGGACCAATCACAATACATGCCAGCTATAAACACCTGGTGTGATTGTATCGGTGCCTTACTGGTGGTGTACATCAGCCTGTTCAGTTACATAGCACCTTTTACTTTTCTGGCTACTTTTATATCCATTCTCTCATTTGATCTGGGGAGGTATGTAGTGTCATTCCCTTTTTGCAAATTAAGGGAATCACAGCCCAGAGAAGTTAAATGTAGGACCCCTTAGAGTAAAAGACTTGGATCTTAATTCCATGTTCTTCCTTGGGTAGAAGTTCCCCCTCTTTTCTTCAGGAGAGAAAGAAGAGATGAGAGATGCCATTTTTGATAGGACAAACGTCAGCTCCTTTCAAAGAAAATGCACAGTAGGTGGTGGGTAGAAGAAGCAACCCCTCCCCCTGGAATCTTCGTGTCCCAAGCTAATTCTTCACTTCCAAGGTCCCTTGCAGGAGATGCCTGCCCTGGAAGAGTGAAACTAGCCCAAGGGGGTGAGCAGCTTTTTTCCCAGTGAAAGGACTAACTCAGCCTCTTTTCTCCATATTCTGAGGGACATTAAGTACAAACCCTTATTCTAAAAGTACATTCTTTTGACTGCTTGTTTTTTTCTCTCTCTTCCTTCCACAGAATGGTGTCCCCTCAAACGAAAACCCATATGTTTTCAATGGTGATTTTGTAGATCGAGGAAAAAATTCCATAGAAGTCCTAATGATCCTGTTAGCGTCTTTGCTTGTCTATCCTAATGACCTGCACTTGAACAGAGGGAACCATGAAGATTTTCTGATGAATCTGAGGTAACTTAGGCCTTTAGATTTCCCCTTTTGCTTCCTGCTCTGGAAAATGCTGCTATGTTTAGTTCCTAGCTGGGAGTTGGCGGTAAGGGTAGAGAAGTGGGGATGGGTGTGGGGGATCTGAAGGAAGATTTCAATCCTTACTCCTGTTTATGACCTCCAATCTTCTATTGAAGCCCCCTTCTTATCTTTTCTTCCAATTCTATTATTTTCCTCTTTCTCCCTTCTGTTATGTTCTTTCTTTCCCTCCCATACCCACAGTTCACAGGCCAAATTGTGTGTTGGTTAGCTATGTTAGACCAGGTTTGAAGGTGTGGTGGGTTCTATGAGCAGGCTTAGATGGATCATTCTGTTCCTACTTTTTTGGCTTGCCTCAGATTTTGTCTCAGAAACTAGTACTGTGATGTTCAGTGATGTGTATATTTTTTATGACATGGTAATTACTTCTGGAATAGTTGTTCATAAACATATTTGAGAACAGCTCTAACAGAGCATTTCAACTATCTGCCTCACTGGAGATTTGAGGAATAAAGATTGGTTAAATGGTTTAAGATTTTTGCTGAAAGGCACAGTAGGTGACAAATATTCCCTTTTTCTTTCTTCCCTCTCTTTCTTTTTTTTTTTCCTCCTTATTTTATGAAAAACAGAAACCAGTTTGCTCTGTGGCAGTTGAAGGCATGGCATGTTTCACACTTTTGGTCCTGGAATTTTGGGTGCCGTGGTCAAAGCTCAGCAACTGATCACTTTTGTCTTTTGGGCAGTTTTGGTACCTGGCCCGAATAAAGTTTCAATTCTACTTGTCAGGTGTAGAAGCAAATGCTAAGACTGTGAAGAAAAAAATTCTAGGACTATTATCAGAAAGCCATTATATGTAAAAGCACTCTCCCACACAGCTTCTCCCAGGTGCTACAGCACAGTTCTCTGAATATTTGCAGCACTTACACAACCTGTACTGACCACCTATTTCTTAAGTTGTCTTGCAATTGTTTCATGAAAATTTATCTTCTTCCCCTAACTCTACTGTAAGATCCTTCAGAGCAGGATGATGTCATTGATAGATTTTGTTCTTTCCCATCATGCCTAGAAAGACTTGGGTATGTATAGTCATTTCCAACTAAAGTCTATAGTTTCTTGAGTTCTTGATACCTGTGCTGGTGAGATGTCAAATATTCCGCTTGTTGTATGATTCATGTAAGTAGGACTTATCAATATTTAATTAAATTGTTTAAATCCCCCCCCCTTTTTTAGGTATGGCTTCACAAAAGAAATTATGCAGAAATACAGGGTAAGCTTTATATCCTTTTTTTTTTTTTTGGATTTTCTTTGCTGTTTATAGTCAGAATCTATGCCAATAGAATAAAAGCACAGCAGGAAGCCCCAGTCATGATAGAGTCCTGTATTTTCTGGACTAAACCAAAATTTTTATTTTTACTTTTATGTAAATTTTAGCATAGACACAAAAGTATTCCATCCACTAATGAATTCAATTCCAATTGCTTGGCCTGTGTGGTTTCTGGAAATTTGGGGATATCCTCAAGCCTTGAATTACTTCAGCACATGGTATATATTATCTCAATGGAAGAGTGAATTCATAACAATAGGGCATTTGCTTCTGTGTCACAATCATCCGGGCAGGATCAGGGTCAGCACAAGTTAGCATAGAGACAGAGGTGATAAATAATGGAGTGCATTACTTGCTCTCTGAGAACTGTGATGGAATAATTAGAAGATTTAAGTCCACATAGCATGGGGTTGGGGGCATTGGTGGTAAAGTGGAAGAATTCTCTCCTTCCAAGCAAGAGAACCAGGTTCAATTCCTGGCCAGTGCAGCTCAAGCACAGCCACTAACTGTCAGTGGAAGCTTGCATGTTGCTATGATGCTGGACAGGTTTCAGCAGAGCTTCCAGACTAAGACAGACTAGGGAGAAAGGTCTGGTGATCTACTTCCAAAAATCAGCTAATGAAAACGCTGTGGATCACAACAGTCTGATCTGCAATTGATCATGGGAATGGTGCAGGACTGGGCAGGGTTTCATTCCATTGTGCATGGAGTTGTCATATGAGTCAGGGGCTGACTCAATGGCAGCTAACAACAACAGTGGCAGGACAGGTAAGAGCTGAAGGTCTTTCTACTATAGAACAGAATGAAATTTAGATCCTGGCTCCATATTTATACCTTATGTGACCTTATACAAGTTACTTCACCTTCCTAAACCTCTATTTCCCCTTTCAGTAAAATGGGGAATGATAATACTACGTTTTTAAAAGTTGTAAAAATTAACCCAACATGTTGACTGGTGCATAGTAAGCACAAAATAAATGGTATCTGGTAGTATTATTATTTGAAAGGAAAATGCAAGTGTGAATGAGTGTGAGTGAATGCATATGAATGAAAATAATTATACACGTGAGCGTGAATACCACCACTGAAGAGGAGTACAAAAGAAGGCACATGGCCGGTCCACAGAAGACATATGGAGCCAGGTTAAGTTCATGGTCTTCCATCATCATGACTAACCTCATAGCCACTGCACCTGTACAGGAGGCCTCGAAAGAAAGGACCCCTTTCAGTTAGAGCTCTTTTGGCTTAGGGATCCAGAATTATATTATAACCCTGTGATTCATAAGTATTTACGTAATGAGCATTGGCTAGAAGTTTCTGCCCCTTTAGAAAGCTGGTACCTAAATGTGTCTTATTTAGCCAATGAACAAAGCAAGCTAGTGTGAAAACACAGAAGAAAAAGGAAGTAGGGCTGTTTCTTTCAGAACCAAGATTCTGTGGTTGCAGATCAAAGGGGGTGGGAAGGGAGATCTGCAGTTCCTAAAACCAAGATTCTGTGGTTGCAGATCAAAGGGGGTGGGAAGGGAGATCTGCAGTTCCTAAAGTAACCATTATGCCAGGACACTTGGTATTGGGGCAACAAAAACAGAATGACTGTTCCCTAAGTAAAACGTGGTAGGTGGTTTCTGATGCAAACCACAACCTCTATTTTTTTCGACAAATATGTTTTGAGAACCTAGAACGTGTCAGGCCTTATGCTGACATTGAGGATAGAGAAACAAACATGACACAGTCCCTGTCTTCAATGAGCTTGTAGTCTAGTGAAGTGTAAGCAAGGACTACATTGTCTTTTACTCTGGCCATGATCGCAGACTAAATCAATGGGCAGAGTTGCTAGACAGCAAACTCAAATGGAATCTCCATGCAGCTGCAATGAGAGTGACACATGCTGGGAAGAGTTTGTCTGTCTCCATGACCTGTAGTGCAGGGCCATACTCAGGACCTTGACCATGGCACTGTCACACTAGAGAGGGGCTGGAGGAGTGTCTAGGGACTTGGGGTAGATGTTAGATCAGAAGTAGAATAATACTACAGATCTGCAGACTTTAGTCATCCAAACGCTTTGCTTCAATTAATGACCTTTGAAATAAAAGAATAATAATAATATTTATGGCAAGAAAGGTTCCTTTTTGGTTGCTGGTTCAGCATTCTTCTCCCGTGGAAACTGAGGGGGAAAAAAAAGCCGTCATTCCTTGATGGCCTGAGCTCCAAACCCAAAGAGAGGTTTGTTAGTGAGCAGAAAAGAACCAGTCACAGAATTCGTAGAAGAAGTGGAATGACTATTCTAATGGCATAGGTTGCCAGGCAGCATAGGGTAGTAGAGGAAATATAAGATACCTGAAGTCATAGTGATATATGCTGTAGTCCTGATTCTCCTACTAATATCAGTGGGACCTTGGAAAAGTCAGTTAACTTGTCTGAGCCTCAGTTTCTTCATCTGTAAGATGGGGATTATAATTATAATTTCTGCTTCATGGGTTTCTTACAAGGGTCATGTGAAAATACATGTGTATATAAGGATATGTTATTATTTTAATTTCTATTTTATTCTCCTATTTGCTTGCCACAAAAATAGATGATGATTTAATGCCAAGGACTAGCCCAAAAGAGAAGGAGGGTACTATCTCTTTCAAATTCACTGAGTGAGAAGGTTGATGGGCACATTGCCTCCGTAGAGCAGTTGGGGACTCTCACTGGAGGGAAGCAACAGCTCTGGGAATTCCCAAGAACCCTGTTGACAGATGTCTCATGTTCCTCCTCCTTTTCTTACTTCCTAGTCCCCTGCCTCTAATCCAGCTGATGGCGTGCAGTTTTGCTTTCCTACCACAGTCAGATCAAACTTTACAAAGAAAACTTGCACAGGTGTTCTGTGGTTTACTGAATAAGTTCTAAATTATTCACTGGATGAGGGCATTAGGCCAAGATTTAGGGTGTTATTCCAAAACCAACTCTACATCACTTCGTCTGACACATGAGGTCCTATAACATTAACATTAACCTACAAACTACCTTCCCAATATGACCTTCTTCTGTTCTCTCTCAGGCATCAACTGAGCTCCAGCAAAAGTGGCCTGCTTACCATTCTCTGAATTTGACCTATACTTCCCGGCCTTAATTCCTCTGCTAATTCTATAACGTCTACCCAGAACACCCTTTTTCACATCTGTATGAGTCATAAATCCTATTCATTCTTCAGAGTCCAATTTAGATGCCACCTCCTCCATGGTGTTTCCTTTGAACTCTCAGTAAAGCTTAATGTTCTCATCCTCTTTACTCCCAGAGCCCTAGATTCAGAGTCACAGTTAGATTATAGCACTTATTTTAGCTATTTGTACACGTCTCATCTCCCCTACTCAATTACGTATTTCTGGAGGGCACAGACTGTGTCTTCTCATACAGCATCAATAAGGGTTTGTCAAATCTAATGGTTTTCCTGGAAGATACAGATAGCAGGAGCTACCCAGAACCAGAACTGTGGAAGTGTCCACTTCTACTGGGGTTCTTTTCTGTTTTAAAGGCTTAATGTTTGGCTCAGATTTGACAAGACAGTAGCCTGGCTCCTGGCCTCATCAACTGCCTATTGGGGATTTCTCTAAAACAGATACAGTGGCCTAATATTGCCATGAAACACTTACTAGTTAGCTGAGCATTTGATTGAAACATATTCCTCTTAAAAAGGTTCTAGTTGGTTAGTGACTCCATGCTAACTTCCTTAGAGTGGCATGAAAATGGTTGCCTTCTGTCCATACAGTGAGACTATTCAATAAACCTGAACCTATCAGGAAAACAAAACTTACTCAAGCTCGTTATTTACAGGTATATGGAAACGAAATCTTGAAAATATTAGAAGACGTCTATACCTGGCTCCCCATCGCTACAATTGTTGACAATGACATTCTGATCATACATGGCGGGTTATCAGAGTCCACAGACTTGAATTTACTCCACCGAATAGAAAGAAACAAAGTAAGAAGTAATGTCTGCATAAATCTTGTCTCAGAGATTTATTGGAGAACGTGTGTCTCTTTTTATTTATTATTATATATTGATCTGTGCTTTTGTGGTTGTTGTAACTGAGAAGATTAGTAAAAATTTTAAGAATAATTTATGACTGCATGATAAGGAACTAAATGAGTAACATATATGGAAAATATTTTTTAAATTCATGGTGGCAGTAGGGAAGTAGGGAAATGAGGAAACTTTGCCATTTCATATAGTTTTCAAAAGTGAAAAATCCTGATCTTTTAAAAGTAACATCTCAATTTATTTTTGAATTGATATAATTTCCCTTGTAATATACTTCACATGGCTCAGGAATTTTAAAAAATATTTGAAACCTAATAATCATATTAGATACAGCAGAAGCCCAGCAGGAAAACACGTAGAGAACCTCTGAGGGAAGTGGTTGTGTGGTACCTATAAAGATCCCACACTTAGTGAAGGACTCCCTTGGGTGGGCCTTGCAGAATGAGTGGAGTTCTCTTCTTGTGCTACCAGTGCCAAGCTGAAGACCCAGACTGGGCAGTGAGGGATGAGATGTAGGGAGAGGGCCCGTGCTCCACAGCAGCACCACCTGGCCATGAGAACCAATAGCAGCTGCAGAGCCAGATGATCGTATATGGCCCTATCCCTTAGGTCTGCTAATCAACTTCTAACCAATCTAGGCAGGTGGGATCTAGAACTGAAATTTAATTTGATACAGACAAAAATGTGACATTTATTGTACCTTGAGTTTTTTGGAGCCTTTATACATAGATGAATGACAATATTGTTGCTAATGTCTACTCCTCCTTTTAATTTCAGCTTAACTATATGCGTCCTCTGGGAAGCCTTCCACTACCTCCAGACTAGATCAGGTTCCCTTTTATATGCTCTCAAGCCCCTTGTGTGTGTCCTTCCTAACAGTTCCCAAAATTAAGTAAGGAACTGTGATGCTGTTTGTTTACTGTCTTCCTCTGCTTCTCTAGTCCACTTCTATAAGCCCCAGTACCTAAGATATAGTGAGTACTTAATCAATGTTTGTTAAATATCTTCTAAGATATTTAAGACCAAAGTAGGGTAAACCTAAGACAAAACTGGATGGAAACTTTTTTTCAACCCCTCTCCTGATTCTGTGTCAATTTACATGCCCCTACCTCACCCAGTGAGGACCTTACTTCCTGGCTTATACCTGTTGTCTGGGCCTTGCCCAGACATGTTGTCATGTGGCCTTGCCCAGCTGTTAATAGCACCCCCTTTCACCCTGACAAGTACTGCAGTTGCAATAAATTTCAAGATCACCCTAAGTCACAGTTCTACTCTGAAACACATGGGTCACCATGAGTGAGAGTCCACTCCATGGCAACTGTTGTTTTTTTTTTTTTTAAGATACCTTTCTCATGATATCAGTAAATAGTCAAGCCAATAAGACCTTTTGATCAACATGAGATAATCAATGTTAACAAATGGATATAATTCTAGCCAAGATGAAGGGAACATGATGTTTTTGTTTGTCAAATGTTGGCAAGCATATGGCAAGAATGCTACAGTCTGCCACCACCACGCCCTGTGACAACAGTGCTAATCAGCCATGGTAGCCATGACCAATTGATCGGATGGAAAATGTTTACTTTCCTGAGGTTAGCCTGAGCAGCCAGCCCTATCCAGGGTTTTTGAGATATTGATAACATACCTCTGTGGAGACTCTCAGTTGAGAGCCACCTTGGTGTAGTAAAGACCATAAGGCTCTGAAATCAGGCAGATGTGGCTAGGTTTACATCCTGCCTCTGCCACTACCTGGCTGGGTGACTTTGAGCAAGGTACTAAAGCTTTCTAAGCCTCAGTTTCTACACCTATAATTGAAGATAAAAATAGCTACCTTGTTGGATTGTTGTTGCTGTTAGGTACCGTTGAGTCGGTTCCAACTCATAGCGACCCTATAGGACAGAGTAGAACTGCCCCATAGGGTTTCCAAGGAGCAGGTGGTGGATTTGAACCACCAATCTTTTGGTTAGCAGCCACACGCTTAACCACTGTGCCGCCAGGGCGCCAATGGATTGTTAGGAGGATTAAATATAATTACCTAGATAAAGAAAATGGCATATAGTAAGCACTAAACATATACCTCCCTTCTCCAGCTCTGTTCTTTCCTGATACTTGGATCTAAGGTTGGAATTTTAGTCACCAAGATAGACCCTGGGGTGAAGTTTTTGGGCCAGGAATTTTTCCTGAATACCTCAAATTTCATCCCCTTCATGGATCATTGTTCTACCTACTCATAAGACTGGTTTTAAAGATAGAAATTTGTGACGTGTATTTTTTGTATATTCTGCTCCTCCTAGGGTGAGGTTGAACTTGCAGTACATACTCGTATTAAATATAATTTAACAGCAATGAAAGTAATAGATTTAAGCCTTTGGGACTCTATCATGAGATCCGAAAGTAGGTTTCCAAGTCTAATTTTATAACCCCTACTTTCCCATCCTATAGGACCCTCTAACTATAGGGGTGACCATACTTCCCGATTTGTGCTTGTTGTCATGGTATAATTGTTAACAGGGGAGGGGTAGGGTTGAGGGAACCTGAGGACATCCTCCATTATAAGTTCATGAGAGGCATTTTGTAAAGTGAGGCAGGCTAGGGGCCAGTGCAGAGAGGCAGAGAAGGAAGATTCTATAAGACTAAGACTCTGATTTAGTATTCTTCAAATTCCCTGGAAGGGGGTGTGACAAGAGGTGAGTAGTAGGACTCCAGAAGAAAATGGTGGTATTGTGCCTTAGGCAGAGCTGGAGCAAAGCATCCTGACCCCAAGTGGCCTTGAAAACTGCAGAGCCACACACACTTAAGAGATCATGTGGCCTTGCCCAATGAGTACATCGGAAGTGAGTTCTGTGGTCCTAAGTCCAGAGAGTTCTCCCAGAATGTTCTCCCCTGTCTAAAACCTAAGGACATTTGCTGGGGAGAGAGAGGGAGGGTGGGCTATGAACTCTCCAATAATATCTGAGATTGGATATCCAACCAGCTCAATGAGACAGGACCTCAGAATGAGATTTAATTTTTGAAAAATAAAGGTAGGATTTCGTACACACCCTAGTTGGTAGAAGAAATGAAGTGTCTACCACAGAGAATTGTCCATCATGGATCTATACCCACCAGTGTAATAGAAGCACTCTTTACAAATTTAGTTTTGCATAAAGGCATGGTCCTACAAAGAAATAAGTTTAAAATTACAATCTCAAGTTGTATAAGGGAATGCAGAGGAATTACAATAATTGACTTGCTATCAGAAAGACATTTTATTTTCCAAAGAAATATAGTAGCTTTGTCACTAGGACTAGAGAGCATAATCAATTACTGGCAAGGTTAGATTGAGAACACACTGCATTTAGGTTGAAGAGTTTCAAAGGCTTTCAACCAGTGTCCCCTTTGAGAACTTCCCTGGACACAAATGTACTTTCATTTCTCCAGGAATACACAACAAAACAAAAAGCAGTCCACCTCTTAAGAGGTATTTCTGAACTCCTCAAAGTGGGTTGGTTCTCTTAGTCCCACATACAGCTAAAGGCTCAGAGGGAAACTAGTTTTCCCTACTTCTAGCATCTTCCATTTCCTGTGGTGGTGCCTCAGAACATGTTTAGTACCTACAGCTGTGGCCTCTGGGATCCACTAGAGACTCTAATGATAAACTTTCCCTGTAGGGAAGTTGAAAAATGCAAAAGCAGAATTCACAGGCCCACTTTACAGAGAGCAATGGATCAATGAGATGAAGGAGGTGGCTGAAATGAAAAGGTGACCATGTGTCTTTCATTGGGTTGAGGCACAACAATATGGACCATACCAACTGGTACTGAAGTTTCTGCATGCAACACACTAAGCATAGGGTTTGACTAATGCATGAATTTGTTTTGCAGATGAAATCTGTACTGATGCCACCAATTCCATCAGACGGAGACTCTGCTATTGATCTTAAGATAACTAAAGTAGGTAGTGAGAAAATCAAAACAAGTGTATCCCTTTCTGACCAGTTATTACAGCATGAATGGGAACAGGTACGTAATCAAAACTTTATAGAAATCAAGTGTTCACCAAAGTAGCAATGCAGACACAGCGTAGATGATGATGTCCCTTACAATATACAGACAATAAGTGATTTTACCTTTATAAGCAGACCATAACGTTTCTGACTTCATCACTATATTTTAAGTTTTATTGAGATATGATTCACATACCATATAATTCACACATTTGAAGTGTATATTATTCAATAGTTTTTAGTATATTCACAGAGTTGTGCAACTATCCTCACAATCTAATTTTAGAATGTTTTCATCACCACAAAACAAAACTTATACACATTAGCAGTCGTTCCCCTTTCCTCTCCCTCCCCAAGCCTTAGACAAGCACTAGCCTACTTTATGTCTCTACGAATTTGCCTGTTCTGAACGTGTTATATAAATGGACTCAGACAATATGTGATCTATCATGTCTGGCTTCTTTCACTCAACACATTATTTTTAAGGGTTCATCCGTGTTGTAGCATGTATCAGTACTTCATTCCTTTTTATTGCTGAATAATATTCCATTGTGTGCATATGCTATATTTTGTTTATACATTTGATGGGCATGCATTTGGGCTATTTCCACTTTTTTTATTTTTTATTTTTTTAAACTTTATTTTGTCTTACAGAAGAGTTGCAAAAATATTACAGAGAGTACTGGTATACTCATTGCCCAGCTTCCCCTAATATTAATGTTGACATCTTATATAACCATAGCACAGTGATCAAAACCATGAAATCAGCATTGGTACTATTAATATTACTATTAGAACTACTGATTACTATTAGTTAAATACAGACCTAATTTGAATTTCACTACTTCTTCCGCTAACATGAATCCCACATTACAGTCCATTGCCATGCCTCCTTAGTCTCCTTCAACCTGTGGTGGTTCCTCAATCTTTCTTTGTTGTTCATGACCTTGACACTTTAGAAGAATGGTGTAGAATGTCTTTTGGTGGGGCTTTGATGCTTTCTCACTATTAGATTGAAATTATGCATTTTTGGCAGGAACACCACAGAGTGAAGTACCCTTCTCAGTGTATGTGTCCCAAGGTACATGATGTCAGTATGTCTTATTACTAGTGATAGTTGACCTTGATCACTTGGCTAAATGTTGTCTGCTAGGTTTATGCACTGTAATGTTACTATTTCCCCCCTTATAATTAATAAATATCTTGAGGGAGATATTTTGGGAGGCTATGCAAATGTTCTGTTTCTCTTCAAATCTTGCACTAATTTGAGCACCCATAAAATCTTGCCTGCAATAATTATTAGTGATATTTGCCTGATGGTGATTTTCTATATTCCTCATATCTTCTACATTTATTAATTGGAGGTCTTCTTTACCGTTTATTTATTTATGTAATTAAAAAAATTATATCAGTATGGACTCATGAATATTGATATTATTCTATGGGTTACAATTCAATACTTACTTATTGTCTTAGTTATCTACTGCTGCCATAACAGCAATACCACAAGTGGATGGTTTTAATGAAAAGAAGTTTATTTCCTCACAGTTAAAGTAGGCTAAAAGTCCAAACTGAGGGTGTCAGCTCCAGGGGAAGGCTTTCTCTCTCTCAGCCTTTTCATCAGTGTTCCCCCAGACTAGGAGCTTCTCTGCGCAGGGACCCCAGTCCAAAGGACGCGCTCTGCTCCTGGCACTGCTTTCTTGATGGT